GAATTGGTCAGCATTAAAATGCGAAATTTTTCTGATTTTAGAAAGGTTTTGTGGACAAACAAATACTCATACTGATATAAAAGAAGCAAATTTTTTCGGATCAAGAAATCAGTATATTGGTGAGTATATGGTCATTTTATGTACAAATCAGCAATAGATTTCATTTCAATTGTTCATGTTTAGTGGCCGGATCTGACTGTGGTTCATTATTGCTGTGGGAACGAAGCTCAGGCGTACTTGTTGCAGCATGGAATGCAGACCAAACGATTTTAAACATTGTCCAACCGCATCCACTGCAGTTTATGTTAGCTACGTCGGGCATAGAAGAAGTTATTCGCTTTTGGGAACCTACGGAAGAAGGCAAAGAGGTTCGAGGAAATGTCCTTCAACTTGTCTGTCACTTATAAATACTTTCAGTTTCATTGTAATACTAATTATCACAATCGTTGCTCATTTCCTTCCCTCCCTCTATCACTGCTATATTATGGTTAACACACTGGACAACGCTTAATTTTCGTTGCTATCCGCACATTTTTCCACGGGGGTCCCTCATATGAGAGATCTCGAGCCGGTTGATCGCGAGGTTACGTGGCGCGTTCACAGCTGATGGATGGGGGGTTAATCGCGGACCAAAAGCGACCGTATGTTTCTCTGAGACGCAGGTGGATCCAGGGGATGGGCTCCCTGTTTCTGCTGCCCCGATTTGGCACATACTTTCTGTATTTGCTAGGCGTATTCATGCATGCGTCTGTGAGTGCGTTCCCACTTATGCGGAGTGCATTCTACGAGCCAATTCGGCGCCAAAAGCCTGCAATCAAGTGGCAGGGAAGTATATGGGAGGCGGTTAGGAGTCACCTCCAACAAATAAGCTCCATGTCCAGTCTGGGAGACTGGCAAGCTACCCGTGAGTATACCCAGTCTCCATATTCAGAGCCCAGCAAGCTATACGTGGGTATCAAAATGCTAAACACAGTAAACCTCCCAACAGTTTGCCACCTCATCTTGGCTTGGAGGTGTTCCTGGGTGTCGAACTGCGATGTACAGCGAAGGGATTCGTCCCACCGGTAGGGTCTCCCAAGTTGAGGAGTTTAGTGTTTACATCAGAAAGCCTAGCTAGGAGTAAACCAATACCAGGATTCGCCACCGTCTTGGTATCAAAGTCGCATGGTGGCGAATCTCCCTCTGATCCACAAGGGCTGCGATTGCCCGTGGTGGTGAAGGCCTGGGGCAGACTTTGGCTAGGCTGACCTCGGGATTCCAGGGAACCACAATGGCTTAACCAGCAAGTCTCCGGAAAATTATTATGCTGGAGCCCGCACAATCAGTGAGGACAAGCCGTTCATGTATCAAGTAAAAACAGTAAAAGAAACGGCCCTCATTCCCTTGATCCTGAAGGAGCCTTCCAATTCGGCAGCGTAGGACGTAGGACGAGTACGGAGAGGCTGCTAAAATCTGTCCCAATGTAAGCTGTCTAGTTCGCAAAGAACTAGCGTGACGATCTGTACCTACAATGCACGTACGCTCGTATCCGAGTCCTCGATAGAAGACTTGATCATGCAAGCGAGAAGGATAAGGTACAACGTCATCGGACTGACCGAGACGAGACGACGCCAGCCATTCAACGCCGTCTATGACGGTTCCTCGAAACACGCGACAGTAGAGGAGTCAGCGGCGTCGCCGTTCTCGTCAAGGTAAGATTGTCTATGGACATTGATTCATTCAAACAACTAACAACTTAAATCGAACGTTTACGATTAAAAAGATGTGGATATCATCTTTTTAATCAATACCTTCTTTGACAGTCTTCGTCGTTTACGCCTCGAAATCAAAATATGACAAAGAAGAAGTCGAACCGTTCTATATGAACTGGACCAAGAAGAACTTCTGAAGAACGTCAAACAGGGTGAGCGCCTGTCTGAGTTTATCATGGCGACCAAGACAATCCATGGTAACTCGCAATTCCAGAAGCCCAACCCTAATTGCTGGACGTGGGAACCTCCCAATGGAGAGTACCATAACGGAATAGACCACATCATAGTAAATATAAGCTTTTGTCTAACCGATGTCGCTGTTGCCCCAAAATTCTACACGGGATCAGACCATAGTTTCCTTCGTGCAAGATTCTATTTTTCGCGGAAAGTGGAAAAAGCCGCTAAATTCAAAAACCGAAGTCCCAGAATCACCACAAACTGCGACTTATTCAATTCATTAGTCGGCCGTTGGGAAGATGCCGTTGTCGATAACATCGACGAAGAATACGATCGGCTCATTCAACATTTTCACGCTAGTGCTATGAAATCTGAGAGCTCGAAAGTCACCAAGAAACGTTTGTCTCCAGAAACACTCGCGCTGATACGCCAGCGTGGAATCGCACGAGCTGCAGCCAACCGCGAACTAACGTCCGAACTTGCAAAACAATGCAGACAGGCGATAAAAGATGATATTAAAGAGAGAATAGCAGCAGTAATGGTCGAAGCTGCAGAGGCTGGGAAAACCATTCGTAAAGCTCACCGAAGCTTCGCCAATTACAGGACCCAGATTATTGCATTCCAGCGCCCAGACGGAACAGTTAAAGCGTCCAGAAAAGCAATGGAGAAAGTCATTCACAAATACTGCTCGGATCTCTTCGATAGCCACGTCCACTTTCCGTCATATGAAATAAAGGATGGATATGTTGTGTCACCGGTTCTCTCGAAATCCAACATGCCATTTCGTCGATGGAAAAACGAACAGCACCAGGTCCGGCAGGATAACAGCAGAACAACTGGAGAACCTTCCGCCAGTACATGTAAACACACTGGCTCGGCTGTTCACACATTAGCTGTCTGAATGCAAGGTCCCTATTCAATGGAAGATCAGCAAGACCACGTTAGTGTTCAAAAAGGGTGACCTACACGATATAGGCAACTGCGCCCAATCTGCTTGCTCTCTGTTGTCTACAAACTTTTCACTCGAGTCATCCTAAAAAGGATTGATAGAACACCGGACCAAGGGCAGCCATGTGAGCAAGCAGGATTTCGAAAATGGTTTAGTGCGGTGGACCACATCCACACGATAACAAGACTCATCGAAGTATCGCGAGAGTACAAAAGACCGCTCTGTCTCAATTTCACCGATTTAAAGGCCTTTGACTCAATTGAGATAGAAGCAGTCATGGAAGCCTTTGGTAGTCAGGGAGTCCTACTCAGTACATAAAGATTCTTCGTGAGCTCTACAAAGTTTCACAACCATGATATCACCATTCTACAACTATATTAACATCGACGTCAAAAGAGAGGTTAGGCAAGGCGACACTATCTCGCCAAAATTATTTACCGCCACACTCCAGAACGTCATGTGAACATTGGAATGGGATAATATGGGAGTGAAAATCGATGGTCGGCAGTTACACCATCTTCGCTTTGCTGATGACATCGTCCTTATAACACCAAACACCAGACTTGCTTCAACGATCAAAAATCAAAGATTCTATTCCGTGCACCAAACTGTCGAAGATAAGGTGTGCCGGACACGTAATGCGTATGAATGACAACCGATGGACAGGAGCCGTTTGTGACTGGATTCTTCTAGATGTCAAACCCACTGCGAGAAGGAGGACCGTCGACCCGATAGTCAGAGTTTTTCACGAAAAGCCTAGAAGAAAGATATGTGCTCAACGAGTTCTTAAAACGAGCAGTACCCACTGGGCTAATCTTGCACGCGACGGAGAAATTGATGGCGCACGCTCTACTAACTCGACAATAAGCAGGACTGTAAGTGATACAAATGACAGGTGATCCGCATATTTTTCGGTAGTTAATGTACTTAAAAAGTTGAGAACTTCATATACTTAGAGAAGAGAGTTTACCTCTCATGGTATGATGGTATTGTCTTAACGGCGATTTCAGAGTCTATTCTAAGAGTTTGTTTTCAGTTAAGGAAGGTTTGAAAAGTGCAACCTGGGCACGTATAAGCCACCTGCAACTCATGCAGGGTCCACTGTTGTACAACGGACTGGACAGGAATATTAGAACTTGTTCCGTGATATCTTGTTGTTATATACAAGTTTCGTCTTTGCAGTTCTAAATTGAATGTGATATTGACCAGTTTTCCTCTCGAGAATTTGCATAACCTCAGCTAGAAAGCCTAGTCGAGAATTCTGTTTCCCGCAGTAATATTATATCGTCTAGTCTGAAAGACGAATAACGGAGCCATGGACGCACTTTGGTCAACGGAATCGATATCCCACCGACGAAAGAGACATATTCCTTCGGCTTATTGGTTCCCAAATGGTGTGTACTTAACGAATCAAACTGTGGTATTTCATTTCGCTGTTAGATTGTTCTCCTTAGTGTTATTTACGAGAAACATTTACTTAAGCGAATGTACACATTTCAGTTGCGAAGGAGTGAAGAACGTCCCGAATGCGTAACGAGCTAGTTAGTTCTTAGTAGTTATGTTTCCCCATGACAGTTGTTGCGCATCGACACAGTAAATGTGCCTGCTTGTGTACTACTGTTCTGTATTTTGCAATAAGTAGTTCAGCTGTGCTTCTTCTTATGGTTTTGGTATGTAGACGATAATACAACACAGTCTCTGTACATTAAATACTACGTCGTAAAGTAAGCTAACTTGAAAACTCGTGATATGAAATTCCGTCCTGAAGATAAATTTCAAAACTGCTTTATCCTTTACAAAACAGAACAGAAATGTAGATAAGTACAGATGACACAGGGAATCTCCATAAGATGCAAGAAAGGCTAAAAACCCGACATGTATTGTCCAGTAGTGAAATGGTATTAAACTATGACTAGCTGAGATGAAATAAAATATGGAAGTGTAGTGTTCGGTTGACTAACTTAGTAGTCTCAATTAAATTATATGGTCATTTAAAGGAATAAGAGTATCTATCTTCTACGGTCAAAATTAAGGAATAAGAGCACCTATCTTCAAAGGCAAAAATAAAAGAATAAGAGTATCTATTTTCAACGGTCAAAGTATCGATATCACATATTTAATGCTTATTTAACGAGATGATTTAAAAGCAGGAAAGAACAAAGACCTGAGAGAAACAATACTGATACAGAGAGGGTAATATGTAGGAACTAACACTTGAAAGCTCTTTTGATCGCTTTGTGTTCATCATTTTCTAATAGATCCACCAAAATATGTGTGTACAATGGAAGGAGCTCATGTTTCACTACCTCGTATTTAAGTGAGTTGAGGCCGTCCGCTTTCCATTGTGTTCTCGTCTGTGCCATAAGCTTGTACCGACATCTAAGGGAATGTCCATAAAATTACATAAAACCGATAAACAAGCATTCTTTATATAGAATCTTACTTATTCACTGGGTTGCTCTTTGCTTCGTGCTCATGTTTAATCATCTTGTAGCGAGCTATTGGGGCGGGATACCTCGCAACTTTATACCCAGCGACCGATACCCTAAATGATTTAGAATCATTTGGTCAAAGTTATATTCCAAGAGTACGTCGTTAAAACATTAGAAGTCACGTTACATATCGGCAGTATTCACAATAGTCAATGTGACATTGGCGACAACTATTCTTTTTTTCGTTCATTTTTTCTTCTGTAGTTTATTGTATTCCTCATGATAATTACCGCATCGACGGTCGCACCTGTCGGCAAGATCATCATCTTCGCCACCCCATCCCCAATATCGGTTGGAGAAACCATTAATGGATCGCAGTTGGCCAACAGTCATGGCGCTGATACCACCAAATATTGCTGTATACGGTAGCATGAAACGACAATAGATTGGTAAAAGGTCAATTACTAATCATACTGTTATAGAAAACTTCGTAGAGAATAGTTACTTGTAGTTGAACTTGTCGACAGCTACGCTCATATGTCGAGGAATTGTCGGACAAGAGTATAGGTTCCGATCGTCTTCAGGTAGAAGATCCACGTCATGAAATATAAAGCATTCCCACAAGTACAATTTGATGCCTTCAGCATATCCAACATTCATTAGCTGCAAATTTTCTTCAATTCATCCAGTTGCATCACTACGCAAGAAAGAACTACAGACCTTTGCCCTATTAAAAGTCTGGTTTGCGACTTGTTCAACAACTATGATAGCGTAGTCGAGCTGCTGCTTCGTTAGTAATGAATGCAGATTGTGAAGTAGGATGCGCAGATGAGAATCACGATCACGGTACGGCACCACAACTGCTACCTGGAATGGAAGGATTTTATCACTTTCAAGAAACGTAAGCCCCGATGTATACTTATATATAATAGGACAGCTCACTGTAACTCACTTTATGCCTCGATCTGCAATTTTTTGGCTGCCCATGACCACCCGGTTCTAAATAAGGGTACAGTTTCTGAAGCGCCGAAAAACTTGGAGAATCCATCCAAACCCGAATAGGACCGACGAGACGAGGTGGTACCAAAGGACAGAGCTTCAATGATGAAGACTGTGATGTAAATGGGTAGCTCGTGTTCGTAAACTGATCTGAAACTGACAGTTCGAGTTTGACTACAAAGTTATCATCTTAACAAAAAAAAAAAAAAGAAATAATGACTGAGTAGAACACTGGTGAACTTTTTATGCGTGTTACCCTTCTACTATTCCAGGCAGTCTTACACTAATTCCAAAAACAGACAAGCAAAAGCTACATATTCCTCGTTTAATATTGGTCCAACTATCACAGAATTACCAACACTGTATATGACCAATATACAATTATATACTCCAATATTCAATTAAATAATTCAATGTATATCGCAAAAAGTCGATTATTTTTCCGAGAAGTTCATCATACGTAGCTCCAAATATATAGATTTTGGTTCTGATTTTCTTGAAACGAACCCGAAAACCTCTTCCATATTCTTCATACTTTTAGCTGAGGTACTACGCTGTTTCTCTTTTTTCCCACATCTTTTACGTCTATATTGTTTTACTGAAGGCTATCTCATCGCCTAATATCGTAAAATTAAACGCCGCGGTACTGGAAAGGGTTAGGCCCTTCTTCTCATGCATTAGAAGACCACGAAGCATTTCTTGAGCACGGTGATACTGAAGTGAGACCTCACAATTGGGTCCCTTGAGTTACGCGAAACAAGAGTGAAAGGATTCAAGGATGGAAATCATAAGTTACTAGCTTGTAATAACAAGTGCAATAAAGTAATGAGAGTAAATTTTTCTCCCACCAGAACTTTGTTGTTGTTTTTAAAATAAATGACACAAAAATTGGGAATGAAGCCACTGGTAACTCGTAACTGCAGATTTCAATGAATCAAGAAATTCGTTAATAACGGCGGTCAAGAACATGATAAACACAATACGTCAATGAAAACGCCAACCTGTAAGAGGCGATCCAAGTTCACTACTCACCGTCATCAGTACTACTTTCATTCAACAATAATTCGCTATCGACCGTAGCTCGAACAGTGGTATCACTAGGCAAATGTGATATAGTTGAGTGACTGTCATTCTGATGATAGACTACGGTGTTTTCCAAAATGGAATCGAAAGGATCGGCCTCCAAATATGTATTGACGCGATAAAAGTTTTCATAGATTGATTGGCCCTGAAGAAAGTAGGGAAGCTATAAAGAGGAATAAAGTTGTAAAAAAGGCAGATTGACAATAACTGATTCAGTAATGGTAAATTACGATTAGAAATTAGAAATAGGCAAGGAAATGGCTAAGATAGGTAGAAAAGAAACCATGCTGATAATAAAAAATAAAGCAGTTGAACTGCCTTGGTCACCAGGAAAGTACGAAAGTTAAAAGTAGAAAAGGATTTAAGGGAAAAGATGTTGTTTGTAAGAAATGATTCAATAGATTGGCCAAGATCATAGAATAATGTTCTCTGAAACGATTTGAATAAATTGTAAATACAAAAGTAACTACAACGTCAACTATTCTGCAACGACGATGAGGACGAGTAATGCCAAAGAAAAGCGAGGCCTATGAATCGCAATAACTATTTATATTCTTGTTGAGCAAACGTTATTATTTTTATTTTATTCTTATTTTATTATCACTTTATTCTCTATTACAATAAAGATGACGTTTCGGCGGATTTTGTCACCTCAGAGCCTGGAAAGGTTAAGTTCACTGCAATCTACCCAGTCTAACACCTCCATAACTAAACGGATAAAGCGCTAAACCATGACTACAATCGCATTGAAAACAAAACATTTCTTAACACACTCAGTGCTTTCTATAATTTTCCACTGAATATGTCACGTGGAGACCTACAACACATAGTTTACAATACGTTTCCACGGTTGGTCTCCACCTGACACACTCAGTGGAAGACTTATAGCAGGTAGTGAGTGTAATTAAGTTATTCTGTTTTTAACGCGATTGGGATCTTGTCTTAGCGCCTTCTCTGTTTGGCTATAGAGATGTTAGGTTGCGTAGATTGCGGTCAACTTGACCTTTCCAGGCTCTGAAGAGGGCGAAATCCACTGAAATGTCCAGCTTCATCGTAATAAGGAACTAAATAACACCACATGCTTACTCAACAAGAATATAAAGATTCATCTGATCAATGCCGAGGTTAATAGTTCGTTCATGGTATTACTACAAGACCTGTTAGCATAATTGGTCTGTTTCACACTGATATCATATAACTTTCAGAAGAAAATTCATTACGCAGGTAGATGAGGCAGATGTAAAAATTACGCACCCTTCATTTGAGAGTGTCTTGACAAGAAAAAAGTGGATGGATGCATTTGGTTCAACTTATGAGATGTAAAGCAAATGGAAGGAAACAACAAATTTACTTTGTCGACGAGCAGATGCAGAACTCCAACAGCGATGATGAGCACCAGTAGCACTTTGATCTTATTTCTAGTCACTACGGTCATTACGCGTGAAGGCCACCACAGTATATCCGAGACCGACACGAAACGCTGCTTATCGCGATATCGCCATCTAAAAAGGTAATACGTATTTCCAAAGTGAAACTATACATTGATATAAAAACCAACTAGGAAAAACATAACTCCTATCAACTTCGTCTTTTCCCCAAGTCCTAGTGAGCTTTAAAGAGGTACAATATCAGTAGAGGTTTTTAAAATCGACCAACTGGACGGATATGAAGAACGCGGAATGAAAAATACAACAGTTGTGCGGCGGATAAGTCGATCCCTTGAACACAAACCAAATTCATCGCACACGACTGCATAAATTTCAACCGATGATATCTCGGCACTGATCAATAACTCCATGCTAATGTCTACTAACTTGTTTCTCGAAAGTATGAAAAGGTGACCAAACAATAATTGAATAAGAGACCACGTAGAGAAAGAGACTAAAAACAAGGGAAACCAAGTCGTCTAGCGATCAACGTAAACACCAACCGAATTACGATTTGAAGAAAACGACGCGTCTCGAACTCTCGAACTTTAATGTCCCACATTCAAAATATTCCAAACCTCAGAGTACCAGAAATCCGAGCGCAGTTTTCATTGAACATCCTTACACTCATATTGTCCTTGCTATGTTAACGTATTAAGATCTGTTTACTGGAATAAGAATGGAAAACCTACGTTTATGATTTTTTTTGGACGAACTCGAATTTCAACGTTATATGGTGAAAAATGCTCGAAATATTGGTACGAACAAGGTACCAATAGCGCACGGTAGAACGTCGAGTTTGCAAGCTTCGGAACAAATTGATATGATATCTTTGAAGGCGAAAGGATGGCATAAATTCCTGCTATTGATAGTCATTACTTGAGTACAACCGTTAAAAATCTGCTGAAACGCCTAGATATCAAGCCAAAAACTTTTGTATGAGCGTAGGGATAGCAAGAGAACTTCTGCAGAGTAGAACAGTAGCTTAAGGAGCACCTAATGAATTAGAAAGACAGAAAATTAGGTCTCGATAAATGGGGTTTTGCACGAATGGAATGGATGGCAAAAGGATCGTCCTTGTGAGGTTCAGTCAAAGCTACTGCACAAAAAGGTGATCTATTTCTTCATCGCATTGTGACATGCATTGAAAAATGGATTATGTTCAGAAAAATTCGAAATGAATAGCGAGAAAACATAAAAAAAGATAAAAGACTTTCCGAAGTTATATGTACATTGGAAGATTGTAAGTTCCTGTGCTCGGCAAATGAAATAATTCACAGGAACGACTTGAATCCTGATGGAATCACTATGGCAGCAAGAATGGCCCGAGAATCGACAGACAGAAATATCCTGCGACCGGCGTTAATCAATCGAATGGGCCTAGTTCTCTCACCCGAAAACGCCCGACAACATGTCGCATGACCAACGCTGAGATTAGAGGCGATCCGTCCGTATATGATCTCAATCAGCATGTTCATTGGATCTCTCGCAAATCCACTCTCACCTCTAGGGTCAAGCATTTCAACAAACGCATCGAAAAAATCCTACTTAACTAGGCCACACAAACTTATCTTACCGTTTAAGACGTCTCTACTTTATAAATTCTATTCCTAATTAATAAAACTTATCATAACATTGTAAACCTGTATACCACTTAAATAGGAAGATACACCACTCAGCGTTATCGAACGCGCTATCGAGAGAGCGATGATAGGACTACCTCATTTCGACAGCAAAGGAATCCAAGGTTCTAAACTATTAGTCTGATTAATAATCAAGTACGCTGTCGCAAATACGAAGGTTTCGAGAATCACGTCGGTTTGCATGTAATACATCTTAAAGATAACCGGGAAGAAACAGCCGTTGTCGAGTGGATCGCATGCGATGTAATGCTCACGACAACAAGACCACCGATCCATGGTCAGACCTCTGCCCCAAAACATCGGAAGGCAAATACGAAGCTCTTCGAGTCCTCGAGCAAGCAGAAATTACTGCGCTATTCCTGTACGCTGCACGGACGAAGGAGACTTGGGTGATGCAATAAGTGTGATAAATTTGTATAGCGATAAACGGTAGAACAGGTGATATAATAAATATGTGTACACGAGAAACCTCAATCACTTTCCAAATAGAGTTTTCAAAGCAAAGAAGATCAGAGGAGAATATTTCTAAACAATGTTATTCTATAAGCAACGAGATTATGATCGAAATAACACGGTAATAGACATTTTAGTGATCATCGAGGTACCTCCACTTTGTTATCTTAGCGTAAAATGTACGGTTATGGGTAATACGATAATAAAAATGCTGAAGAATAAAACAGAATCCTACTAGCAAAACGATAACCACACGTTGAAAAAACTGGCAATTGCTGTGCTTCCGAAATGCTTTAGTATCAATATAGTTACAATCCTCCCAAAGGTTTACCGCTTTATCGTGGCTGGGAGATGTTCCTGGATGGCTACGATGTACGGCGAGTGGATTCATCCCCCAGCAGTCTCCCAAGAGCAAAAGGAATCCGGAGTTTCCACCAGGAAGCCCAGCTAAGAGTAAACCAATACCAGGATCCACCACCGTCCAGGTACCAAACTAGTCGCACGATGGCAAATCTCTCTCTGATCCACAAGGAGTGCGGGTGCCTGTGGTGGTGACCACCTGGCGTAGACTTTGGCCAGACTGACCTTGGGACTCCAGGAAACCACAATAGTTAAACCAGCAAAAATCCGAAAGACTGCAAATTGTACCGGGGCCCGCTGGACCAGTGAAGACGGGCCATCCAAGTATTCAAGTAAGTATAGTTACTACAGTTGCGGTTGCCTAAAGATAACAGCGGCAAACACTCCTAAAGTCTAGACGCAAAACCACACCCACACGAAATCTGGAGTGGTTGAAGCGGACTTTTTGCACCGATAAACTCATTCTAAAACTTTCCTTCTCAATGAACTTTCCAGTTTTAATTAACTGGACATTATTTTACTTTAAACTATGAGTAGACAAAAGAGACCTATATTACCTTACGAACGCTTCTTTTTGAGCGAACATCGACTCTTAATACAGATTTTGATGTTCGACAGGTAACGATTCCGGAGACTTCACCTTTTTCAGAGCCTAGACATATTGTTGAATAGCTGCATTTTTGTTGGTAGGTGGGTACTCAGTTGCACTGTTTGAAATTGAACAAATGCACTTCTTATGTTATACTAACCCTGGAGGAAATCCTCTGATTTATCAGCATGCGAAAACAAACCAGACTTAAAAGACAAAACCAACGAATTAGTAACCCCCAATCTCCAGTTTAAAAAACCCACGACCCAATAATGATAACCAAAATTGAAACCCCTGTGAGGATGATGGATGATTTGTACCATTTCTAAGTAATCTTCAAAAAAACATAAACCAAACCAAAAACACTCACTGCTTTTTCGTTCTTAACGATTAAGACAACACGTTCGCTGCTCATAAACAATGATGAGTGAACCTCACTCAGATCGGAAAACTGATTTTAGATAATGTGATAAGTCGATGAAAACCATTGTAATCAGTTGAATAGTGTGTTAGGACGCACTGAAAACACTGAAGTGAAGAAGAAATAATCTACCTTCAAACTCGGGTACTTCCACGTCACAGTAAATCCTAGTAGAGAAAAAGCACAAGCAAGAAATCTCCACTACGAATGACTAGTGTATTCATGCAACTAGAATAGCTGGAACAATATGTGTCCACGTGAATGAAATGTGTTTATTATTCGAAAATAATGACTCATATAAAACAACATTTACTGTAGAGATGGACTCCGAGTGTTACATCGCCTCTGATGAGCTAGTCGCAGGAATCGCTGCAGCCTCAAGAATCGTCGCTGTCCTGTCAGAATCTCAGGTACAAAGTGATAAACCTCCTTCTAGCAACGACGATTTACGACTGTATGTAGCAGAACGCTGAGGATATACTAGCATAATTGTCCTGAGACCAAAATAGAAATTGGCATTCAACATATCGATAAGATCACAGGCCTGATACTCAAACCCTAACCGAACAGAACACCTACCTGAACATTTCTGTAGATGAGGACTATCTATCGACGAAATGAATAGAAGTGCTTAGCACGCATGAAATGCAACGATTAGCTAGCTAATTGGAATAAACGAAATAATTGAAAATAGAAAAGATTTTCTTCCATTAAACCTGCAGCATATAGTATACAGCAGGATCAACGAGTTACCGAGCGTACTTATTGGAATTACTAACCCTATAACATTTTAAAAAAGCACCGTAGTTCACCATTACACCAAACCAGGAAAAAACATCGCTACGCTTAGAGGACAAACGATCAGTTTTTCACTGACAGACAAAACTCCGTTCGATTACAACAATCTGACGAACAACTTTGGACCAACACTATTTATATGGACTCGTTTACATGAGCCATCATAAAGCATCCAAATGGAATCTGTGAATGGACCGAGAGTATCAACATTGCTCTGTACAAGTACATGGTAGATCAGACTGCTGTTCATTTGCTTGTCAAAATTGTATGCGCTATAACAAGGGTTCCCAGCAGAGTGAAGCAATCCTAGCACTAGACGAAAGTCAGAGCGAAAGCGATCACTGACGATATCTGCAGATCTAAGAGAGGGTCTACCATCTCCACACACAATTCTCCACTCGATGCAAGTGTTAAAGTCAACGACAAAATATTAGAACCTAGAGAGATAGCTCAGCCTTACAATGTACCTGCGAGAAATGTATCTGTCGAAAACTCTCAAACCAAGAGCCGAATGGAACACAGCATTCGATTCCGTTCAATAACCAGTTCCGGGAGATTAATGTACGACTTCGACGTCGCACTTTCGTAGTGAAGGAAATATTTGTAATACGACAGGTCTCTCCCGTATCTAGACCAACAATGCGACTCCAGTTACTGAAAACATTACATCAAATTTCTAAACACGACGAATCAATGACCAGTTCTCAAGTCAGTAGTTCCCTACAGAGAACCTTGGACTATTCCGTATATTAATATTATCGATATGTCAGGGATGCGCACAGCGCTTTGGTCGAAGGCGCTTCTCGAGACGTCGATGTAGGCCACTGAGAATCACTATAGGGGATAGATATGCACTCAAGCACCTACAACGATGCCTAATGAAGTCGAATGCACGGCGCATGCTTCAGGGACATAGATCAACGCCGAGAGCTTTATCCTTTATCCTTTATGTCAGCGTATTACTACCACCAAATGAATAACGAAGGAGGCCTAGCGCAGATGACTAAGTAGCAGCGAAGATGGCGACTGAGTTCACAATGCTCTTACTATGCATCGTAAAACACTTAGTACATGAACATCCTGCCTTCACAAAAGTAGCAAAACCTCCAGCACTATATCCACTTGATTAGCAACATTCCTGTCGGACAGTATTCCTTTACTCCTGTTTCTCAAGAAAACTGTAGTAGAGCATTCCAAAGAAATCTCACAATATGCATGACTGGGTTGACACCAGCACGGCGACGATTCGTAGCACTAGTTTACACCACGCCAATATTCCCGGTTGAAATGTCGGATTACTTCTCGATTTTTTGAGACCGAAAATAGAAATTGAGCTGCTGGCTGGTGTCAAGAGGTGTATGTCGTCTTACAACTATCTATAAAACATCTTCACTACGGCCTCATATGATGAATAGATAACTCTCATGACGATTCCATGAAAGTCTCTCACGCAATAGAAACAAAGATCTCTACAGAAGAAAGAGAATCTACCAACCTACTACTGCATTTACGTTTTTGAACGCTGCCTCCTCTGTGCACTGTGAGCCCACCGAATACATCACGGAGAAGAAAACTGAATGAACGACGATATGAATATAAACGTCATCAAAGCAGCACGCTAGTGGAGTTTAGTCAGTGGTGATCAGAAATCGGAGTCAGAGAGCACTACTTGTACTACTCGTATTTAGGGCATTCTGATCTCTTACTCAGGTAACGTCACCAGAGTTTGAATGTACGAACGATAAGCGAAAGAACTCAATTCTCGAAAATACCGATATTCTAAGCAATTCGACTGATTTATCTTTGAATACATCAATGTAACGGACATTTTGGAGAACGCCATTCTCTTGAAGACTTAGAGAGTTGAAAGTCAAAATGTTACAAACACGAGTGCCATCTGTGGAATTTCCCTCAATCCAGTTTCAAGCCCTAAATTAATCGTGCACGTCCTCCGAGGCAAAAAGAACCAATGATCCATAAATTTTTGTCCCTTGAAAAACTGAATCTCACTACCACATAATGATCGGTGAGTGGTGAGTGCAGGGATTTCCTACTCACTTAGTTCTTGCACTAAAGTAGCAAGGCATAACAGATGTGATGGAATTAAAAGTGTCGAGTCGCTCCGCAGCCTTCGGTAATAAGCATGCCTATTGGAACAAATAGGAACTAATCTGGGACCAGCGTTCTGCCTTCAGGATCCACGGATTTACTTGCAAATGTTCTGTAGCATAAATCTCCTACAAAATACAATCAACAGCTGTATTTTAGCAGATCTGGATGACGAGAAATTGAAGACAAGCCATTCAGACGACCACAACAGAGGAGAAACCGCAAACTGGGCATAAAAAGAAAAGAAGTGAAACCAGAGCCCTCTTGGTAAGAACAGCAGTTCAGTCCCTCTTCAGACATTCGCTAAACAACATAAGAAATAAAGATTGTGAGGAAATAAACGATGGTGAGAACGGGCCTCCAGCACGCATAACGAGTGCGATTGGTGTGGACACACAAGCGCGTGCGAATGAGATTAGCCGTCAATATAAACCAAAACGCAGGTGGCGCAGTGGTCAAATGCGCCCTGGAACACACACGTGGGATCGATCCAGTGCCCATGGCTCATCAAGCCTTTCCTCCCTCTGCGGTCGGCAAATTGGTACCAGACTTGTCTGCGAGTATAGCACCACTGGCTCGATACATCGCCAGGCCACCACGGGTCACTGTAAAGCCCAGATATGCATCCAATCATTCCTAACAATGCTTAATGAAGTCGAATGCACGGCTCATCCCTCAAAGATTGATCAACGCCAAGACCTTTACTCTTTCATCCTTTTATGACCCGGAACAATAGAAGCTGTGCCTTCACGCCCCAATCATCGATCGAAAGCCAGTCCAAATACTGATATAGTACTTTCCTTACTTCCTTGCTTATAAACCAGCGGTTTAACATCCTCCTCCGGAAGTCCAACTGAAAGTAAATCTAGCCCACAGGAAGAAGGCATAACGAACTATTCCTGGTAATATTATCGCCAGAAACAGTGGAAAAGCGTCATCATACCAAAGGTTAGCTGCCAGATTCCAGTTCGATAACACTGAGGGAGAAGAACCCACGGAGTTGCTCTAGCGAACTATGAGATGAATGAAACTTGCTGAGGGCTGCTGGAGCTCATCGTTGACTTGTTTAATACTGACGATGCGGCAACAAACGTAGGGGAGATATCGAGAAATGCTTCAAGGTTGAAGATAGCTCATGAGAAATCTCTTGGTCGAAGCGGTCCGATTATTGGAAGTGCCACCACAAAAAAACAGTGTTCGAGATTTTTCATTAGTGTTGACTTCGCAAACACAGGAATAATGCAACGATGACATTTGGACGTAAACAACCAACAAAAAATTATATACATAACATAATGCACAACATTCAAAGTAAAACAGTGAAAAATGCTATGTCGAGTACTACATCTCGATGAGCACGTCAATATGGACAGACTGAACGGCAGCGAAATCTTCGTACATACACTTTAGTGATGAAAGTTTGTATGGGAATTAAGTGAACAACGCAAATTTCAACAATGCCAAGAAGAAATCGAGAGCTAAACACTAGGTGGGACATAGTTCGGCTGAGATGACACGAAATAATCATCAAAGAAGTGGAAAAGATGATCGAAAGTCGGTCGTCGTTCCGGTATTTTATCCCAGCACTTCAACATCACCTGAAAATTTAAGCTGATAAACTTCTCCTTTCCTCATGATTTCACTAACATCGCTCTAACAACGTTAGAATCATGGTAAAGTGAGAAGAGTTCCCCTAACCTCATTATAAATTTGCTCAGGACAGCCTCGCGGCATTGGCATACGATATCCGATCTCCACTTGCTCCACCACTTCTCTGTTATGCATGCCTAAATACAATAGCAAAAAATTCACATTTGTCTTCCAATAAACAATCGATTACTGAAAAACTCTCACCTGGATACGGAACTTGTCCCTTTGTCATAAGCTCATAAAGTAGTATTCCGTACGACCACACGTCACTCTTAACGGTGAAATTACCGCATGTTGCTGCCTCCGGCGCTGTCCATTTGATAGGGAATTTAGCTCCTGTTCGAGCTTCATATATGTCTTCTTCCATTAGTTTTCGTGCAAGTCCAAAATCGGCCACCTGCAATGCAGAGCAAACAACCAATTAGATGGTACACGATGTGAAGTCGACTACATTACTACTACACAGTTACTATTATACATTACTACCATACCATCCCAACGGTTTACGCTTCACCGTGGTCAGGAGGCATTCAAGGGTGTCGGGCTGTGATGGACAACGAGGAGATTTACCCCCGGCAAGGTCTCCCAAGTTGAGGAGTCTGGCGTTTCCATCAAGAACCCCAGTGACGAGTAAACCAATACCAGGATCCACCACCGTCCTGGTATCAAAGTCGCATGGTGGCAAATTTACCACTGATCCACAAGGGAAGCCACTGCATGTGGTGGTGACCTGGGGCAGACTTTGGCCAGGCTAACCTCGAGACTCTAGGAAAACACAATAACTAAGCCAGAAAAACTTCGAAAAATGGAGATCATGCTGGGTCCCACATAACCAATGAGAACAGGCCATCCGAAAATCTAAGTATTTAATTACTATGTAAGGATCGACTCCTAGTAATGATTCCAAACCGAAGTTTTATGACAGTTACGGGAATAAAGATATTACGAGTCAATGAAACTTTTAACGTCATAAAATCGAGTATTTTCTTCGAATATTTGAAATGTTAGAACCACTTCATAGACCAGAACACGGAAACAAATTCTTCGTAAAAATATGCTGTACCTGACCGAAAATTGAAAAAAACAACGTGGCATATGCTATGAGGCTATCAATAAAAAATTAAAGCCTATCTAATCTACAGTCAACAATATCCCAGTTCTATTGATATAAACAGTGCCCACAAAAATGGACCACGCGGTAAAACACCATTTATTAAACCATGAATGACAAGTAAACCGCGGAATTTTTCTACCTTAACGACTGGGACACCACTAATCTTCTCTCCAACGAGAACATTTCTAGCGGCCAAGTCACGATGCACTAATTTTCGTTCCTCCAGGTACATCATGCCATTCGCAATCTATAAACGAAATCACAAGTGAGAAAAAACCAGGAAATTAAAGAATGAGTAAAAATAGACTGAATGAAACCTGAGCGGCCATATCTACAAGCGCTTGTATTCCAAGAGAAGCTCCTTCATTTCTCAAATAGTGTAGGAGGGATCCGTTACACATGTATTCCGTGATAATATAAAAGGGCTCCTCACGTGTACAAACAGCGTACAACTTCACCAAGTTTGGATGATCACATTGCTTCATTATTTGAGCCTCCCTGTAAAATCAAATATGTAGATATATATTTCTTATTTAGGAGCGCTTGTACTGCAGTGGTTAGAGGTGTCCTGCAATAAACATGAGATCGATCCCCGCGTCCCACGCCCACCAAGCCTTTTACCACTCGAGGGACAAGAACCTGCTACCAGACTTGTCTGGGAGAATAGCAGCACTGACTCGATACATCGCTAGCCCACCACGAGTTATTAATATACCAAATATACTTCCATTCATCTCCGAAAATGCTTGATGGTGTCGAATGCATCGCGTAACCACTTAGGGATTGATCAACGATGAGACTTCTGTCCTTTATTACTACTTGGATACTTGGGCGACCCGTCCACACTGCTTCTGTAATCCCAGCACATTCTCCATTTTTCGGAGTTTTGCTGGTTTAGCTACTTTGTTTCCCTGAAGACCCGAGTTCAGCATGGCTAAGTCTGCACCAGGTCGTCGCCACCACAGGCAGTCGCGGCTCCATGCGAATACCAGGGCGGTGGTGGTTCCTGGTATCGATTTACTCTTAGCTGGGCTTGTTGATGAAAAGCCAGATTCCTTCTCAGCTTGGGAGACATTGCCGAAGGAACAAACCTACCTCCCAGGTCACCTCTGAGCAATGATGAGGCGGTAAACTGTTTGGAAGTCCTTTATTATTATATTTAGCATGCATGTGTATATAAACTATTCGGATGCTACAACGTCCTTGAGCGGTCGGTTACTTTTTCATTCCTACTTTCGGTTCTAACACCTCTCTGAATCAACTAGCAGGAAGACCAAGCAAAGGATTCGTTGCCGAAAACACACTTCCCTCTGATCCACATCGTGAAGACCTGGATACGTCCTTGCAAGGTTGAGTCAGGACTCCAGGAAAGACCAAGTTGCACGACCAGCAATAGGCCAGCCTCAGCATCCCGCACACTGGGTGCTCCCGTCTACAACGTCAGGCGGAGAGACGACCAGTGAGAGGCCAGAAAATCTCGGGTTACGCAAGACGTCATTGGAACCGGATCTGACGAACACACTCATCACACGCCATGGAGATTGTTTCCTACTATTCACGCACAATGCCAGAACACTCACCACAGACGCCAATCTTCACGTCCCTCTTGTAGCCACAGATCACATTAAATTTCATGTGATCGCACTACAAGAAACAAAAAATAAGAAGACCGACATACTCCAACAAAACAACGGGGCCTTTGTGATCTGTGAAGAAAAGGTCCCGTCACGAAATGTTGGCGGCGTAGGTTTTGTCGTCCACCCGTCCATTGTCCATCTCGTCGACTCATATGAGATCCTTTCCTCTCGCATAGCCGTCCTCCGTCTTCAACTGTCGCATCATAAGAAGATCACTATCATCAACTGCTACTCACCGACCGACGCAGCTGATAAGTACGAATTAAATGTATTCTACTATCAGTTGGAGGAAGTCATTCGCAGTGATAAAACATATGAATTTGCTGTCGGAGACTTCAACGCCATAATAGGAAAGAGCAACGAGAGCGAATATACGGTCGGAAATTTTGGATCAGGAGAAAGAAATGGGGATGGGAACCGTCCCGCAGGACTCCTGTCCGCAGCACGTCTCTTCCATCGAAACTCGTTTTTCCAGAAGAAAGAAAGCCGCAGCTAGTCATGAGAGTTTCCTAACGGTATAACTTATGCGGCGACCGACCACATTCTGACAAACAGAAGATGGTGCCTACTTGATACATCGGTAGTCCCGTCATTTCTGTACTGGTTCCGATCACCGCCTTCGTGCGAGGATTCGATTCACCTGCAAACTGGAGAACTCTCTTCATCGACCACGAGGAAAAAGTCTAGATGTATACAACGAGAACATTCTGAACAACGTCCTATCCAAACGTGACTGGCAGATTAAAAAAGACCCGACCGAAGAGTACGAGCCGCTTGTCGAAGGACTGAAAAGCTGTGCCGAATTCGCTTCAGTTCCTTAAGCAAGAAGATCGGATCGCATCTCCATCACTACTAAGGAGTTGCTCGAAAAGAGAAGGAAACTGAAGTTTCGTCCTACTGCAACACGTTTAACATGGCTAGTAATAAATGCCAGCTGCAGAAGAGCTTTGCAGGAAGATCTACATCGGTATAAGCAGAAGAAACTACTGGAAGCAGCGGAGAAAAGAAGCAGTCTCAAAAAAAAATGCAATCGGGACTTGTGTGATTATAATGTTCCTCTGTCAGCCCCGATGAGCCAAGATGGTATCCTCAAAACTTCCCGCCATAATATGGAATTAATAGCGGAAACGTTCTACACCAATCATCTCCGTTCCACAATCCCCGTCCCGGACTCTAATATCCCCACTGGAAAAAAGCCACCTGGAATTCTCCCGTCGGAGGTTCGAGTTGTGATAGAAATCATGAAAAGAAGCACATTTCCAGGACCCGACAGTATTACCGCCGACTTCTTTAGAACTGGAAGCCACAATTTACATGTACTTCTCGCAAATCATATGACAGCCTACCATCAAAAGGAAAAAATCCCAAACCAGTGGAGGATGTCGCGCATGGTCACCCTGCCCAAGAAAGGAGACCGAAGGGATCCTCGTAACTATCGTCATATATGCTTGTTGAGTGTACTCTACAAGTTCTTCACGAAGATTATCCTCTCGCGCATATCATGGACATTGGATGAGGCGCAACCAGTCGAGCAAGCAGGATTTCGACAAGGATTCTGCTGCATGAACCATATCCAAACCGTGTCCAGGGTCGTCGAAGTTTGTCGAGAATACCACTTGCCTCTAGTCCTAATCATTGTCGACTATGAGAAAGCGTTTGACAGTGTCGAAACGAATGCAATCCTATCAGCGCTCGTCGACCAAGGAGTGGACCCGTAAGGAGTTGGTCCGACTGTTATCAGAACTGCACTTCGAAAATACAGCTTTTCCATCGACCTCCTACCATACCAATAAGGGGTTCGACAGAGCGACACAATATCGCCAAAGCTGTTCAGTACCGCACTGCAGTGGATAATGAAGTCACTCGATTGGGATGAGAAAGGCATACGTATTGATGGAATATTCCAACCAAACCTTCGTTTTGCCGGCGACATTGTCACCTTCTCAAGAAGTACTAGCGAAGCAGGGATGATGATCAATGAGCTCAACGAAGAAGGAAAAGATCGGACTGCGCATAAATCGGAAGAAGACACAGTTCATGAAAAACCCATGGTGCGAAGGCGAAAAAATTGAATTGGATGGCTCTCTCATTGCAGAGATTTCCGTACGCATACCTTCGGCGACCAATGAACATGGAAAACAACATGAAGGAGGAACTAGATACAAGAAGGAGAGCAGCTTGGGCCGCATTCGGGCCTCTCAAGGAAACCACCGACCAACTGAAGGACCCGAAAATCCACGCTGATCTCTTCGAATCCACGGTCCTCCCAGCGCTCTGTTATGCGGCAAAGACGTAGGTAGATACTTCAACCACATCAAGAATGCATCGCACTACTCACAGAGTGCTTGGGTGACGTCTTCTGAAATATAACCGGCACGCTCAATATGTAGCCGGAATGCGAAGCTCTGGCCTTCGAAATCTGTCACATCTTTTCGAGATCCAGGAGAATATACATCGACAGCGAAACATAGATGGACCAGTCACATAATGAGAAGAACAGACGACAGATGGAGGAAAAGAGCAGTGGAGTGGATTCCGAGAGAATGCAAACGTACCCTAGGACGACCACCTACATGTTGGACGGACGTGCTCGTAAACAAAGTTAATCACCTGTACCCGCAGCTGCAGTTGTTTTGCCGATCACGGCATGAGACTCGCAAGCGCTACCATGCTCGAACAAAACCACCTCCATGGACTATAACTGCGACAGAAAGGAACGAATGGCACATGTGTTGGGGTCCGCACAGCCCATAGAGACGGACCGTCCAAGTATCCAAGTATGTACATAAACGTGCATATATATATATATATATACACGTATACGCATATATACGTATATACCTATATATATACATATATATACATATACACATATATATATGTTTATCTTGCTCTGAGTATCAAGTGTAACTCGTGAATGTAACGCACCCCAAAAAGGCTTCTGGGGACATTGTTCCGGGTTTCATCGTCTTTATTGCTACCTCAACGATTCCACGCCATTTTCCGTACCACACCTGCAAATCATCCTTTGAAACTCACTACTCTTAAAAGTACAATTAGTTTACCAGATGCAGTGTAAAATGGACAAATAAGGAACCTCGTTGTAAAGAGCACTTACCTCGCCAAAGTTCCCGTCTCCTAACTTTCTCTTCAACTGCAGCTGATTTCTAGGAATTTCCCAATTCTGCTGAGTATCATGGCTAAGATCTGGGCGCGTTGGTGCGATTCTTGGAGCTGGGAATGTTAGCTGACAACATAAACCGTCAGCCATTTCTGAAATGCTCATTTTTGAAGATGACCGAAGCTCGTTAATTCTATAAAAAGCCAAAAGAGATACTACATACCGGAATAGTAAGCAACAAGCTCCTGCAGCGTGCGAAAAGTTCTGCGTGTCGTGATGAAAAACCCCTGATCATGATCAAGACGCTTAATCTTATAATGTTTTACAGAACCTGAACGTAAAAGGAAATACGGCTGATTCTGCAAAGAAAGCACAATGTACCAGACCTCCTCGAATATCATCGGAATCTCTGATTGTCAATGCAAACTCTCGGCCATCTGCTTCTCTCTCACGTATTAGAAAGGTTCCTTTTGGCAAATTGTTAGCTAAAACGAGTCGCTCAGCACGATTTCGCGGGATCTTCCCAGCATACCATCTGAAAAATGGAGCTGCTAAACCATTATGAAGGAACAATATTACTGCTGAACAGTAATGAACGTGGCATGAAGCAGAAACGAACAAGATGCTTACTCTTCACTTTCTATGGTTTGTTGCTTTGCTACGAAATTTCTCGGCACATATCCAGTATTTCCTGTACGCTGATGACGCACGTACCACCAGTCGCAGTTACTAGAGCAAAGAACGATTATGTCTTTCTGAGATTTTGGAGGAACAAGACAAAATATTTGGCAGATCCAATAACAATTTTGAGACACGCTAGTGACTGGTTAAATATATTATCGATTCCTTACAATTCGAGAACATTAACCTACAAGAGATTCTTACAGTCTTAGTGACGCAGGAACATGCACGTTTGCTGACACCATTAATTCTTGCGAATTCTCGCTTGGATGCTTGCATGGCCCGTCTTCACTAGTTGTTCGGGCCCCATCATAATTTCTATTTGACTGGACATTTTTTGGTTTAGTCATTGTGGTTCCTTGGAGTTCCAAGGGCAGTTTAGCAAAAGTCTGCCACCAATTCGTCATCACCACAGGCAGTGGCCACCTTTTTGGATCAGAGGAAGATTTGCCACCATGCGAATAGTTTGATACCAGGATGGTGTTGAATCCTGGAATTGGTTTACTCTTTGCTGACTTTCCGAATGAAAACGCCGGGCTCCTCAGTTTGGCATGCCATGCTGGAGGGTGAATCCCTCTGCTGTATATCGTAGCACGTTGCCCAGGAGCATCTCCAACCCACGATGATATGGCGAACCGTTGGGAGACTTGCCAATTTCCATGCTAATTAAGTAGTTCCTGCTTATGTAATGGGATCGTTTTCTTTTCACATGAGTGGTAAATGTTCTGCGAAACTTGAACACCCTTATTGATAAGATGAAGCCTAAAGAAGCCTAAAAACACCGAGAAAGGTAACTTTACTGGAAAGCTTAGTTCCACTCCATTCTACCAAGTTGGTTTTAATAGAAACTTCCAACTCATAGTAACTCACTGAGAAAACATTCCGGTCAATTTAGTCCTTACGTTACATGGAAAACACTTATGAAAGAAATCTAGAACCTCGAAAAAACTCATACATAAGAAACCGAAAGAAAGAAAAACGAACCAGAAGTTCTAGAAATTACACTATAGAGTGAACACCACTTTTTTACTTCTGAAAAAGTATTACAAAAAGCTAGTACTCACCTCTGATCTAGTAAATACATGATATCGCCTTTCTTAAAACTGAGGTCGCCATCTGCTCGCGAGTCATATGCATACAGAGCGACCAGAATTTCCTTCTCTGAAAATTAAGGGTCATAAACACCACTTGGAAAACCATATTATCCAGCTACCATTACCCATTGTTGGGCCTTCTTAGACAAATTATGTAAGATCTATTCTAAGTTGATAACGTTGTGAATGGATTCCTGAGTAGGAAATTAAACAACAAATACGAAAAGATGAAACAGTAACTAACATCCACTAAGAATGCGTAAAGATCCTAAAGACGGTTAATTTACCAAAAGAAACTTTGAACTTTGGCTATAGGATATGCGATGACTTCATCTATCAGATCAGTGCATTGAAAACTTCGAAATGGTTTGCTGAAAACTGCAGTGATGAAAAGAGGGTATACAGACAGATTTAGACGTCTATGTATTCGTGGGGTAACACTGCAAGCAGTTTCCTTTTCAAAGAAGACTTTTGTAACTAACTGGACCATGTTTAAAAATCAACAAGGAGTAATCCTGATATCACTGTGCTTAATGCGTTCTAACATGACAGAGGGCACGTGTGGAGCAGTGGTCGGAGGCGCCCTGCAACACACACGTGGAATCGATCCCCGCGCCCATGGCCCACCAAGCCTTCCATTCATCCGGGCTCGCCAAATTGGTATCAAACTTGTCTGGGAGTATAGCAGCACTGGCTCGATACGTCGGCAGACTACCGCGAGTCATTGTAAAGGCCAGATATTCATTCACTCACTTCCAAACAATGCTTAAAAAGTCGAAAGAATGGCGCATCTCTAAAGGTACAATTATGTATTTGTGGAATAATATTGCAGTTTTTTTCAAACAATGTTTTATAACTAATTCAAAAAATTTAAAAATTATTAAGGAATAATTCTGCTATCATTGTGTTTAAAGCATTTTAATATGAAAGTACTTTCGGTTTATAAAGGACCATACAATGATGACAAGATGAAACTGACGTGAAAAGAACTCAAATCTTACTTGGTTACTTGGGTACTTGGATGGTCCGTCCTCGCTGGTTGTGGGGGTAACAGCACCACTCCCATTTTTTCGGAGTTTTGCTGGTTTAGCTGTTTCTCTGAAGTCCCCGGGTCAGCCAGCCTAGCTAATGTCTGCCCCAAATTGTCAAAAGCACAGGCAGTGGCCACTTTTGTGAATCAGAGCGAGATTTGCCACCATGCGACTAATTTGATACCAGGATGGTGGTGGACCCTGGTAAACTCATATCAAGCCTGAATATTTAAATAAATAATAATTAAATAAATACTGGCCTTGTGATGCACGTGCCGGTGTCGCATGTTCTACCAGGTGAGCTTCGCGATCGCTAGCGTTATTCACCAGATAGACCGTTTGCGGAGCAGCACTAAACTTCGTGGCATCGACGCGTTCAAGCACACTTCCTCCAACACCGTCGCCAGAAGCACAGTTGCGATGACGTGAAAAGCAACCTCCCATTTTGTGTTGCCTTAGAAAAATAACAAACCCATGCAATGGACACGAACTAGTGCCATAATACCAAACAAAAGTGAGACATTACACCTATATCGTCCGCTCAGAAAGAAATTAGGACGTCAAACAGCACCTGTGTACGAAAAAAGAAACCAAATAAATACTTTGCTGCATAAAAGTTACTCATTCAAAGCAAACCTTCAATGCGAACTCTCGGTTCAATAGATGCTGGTTGTATACTACCAGGCTACAACATTACCCGCATGAAGGCTTATATCTGAAACACAACTCTCACATTCACATTCACATTGAAACATTCGACCCGACTCAAATAGGTGGAATACGACGATGACGGCGGTGAAAAATTGCATTATTAAGTAAACTGTTAAGTAAAGCAGTTATCCAATTGTGAAGGCCTGTTTAGAAAACATATTTCATGCAGGATATCCTAAGCGCTTGGGGCTAGAAACACTCGACGTTCGAGTCCTTTTTATTTTCACTTAAGAGCAAATGTGCCAAACTGCAATTGCCATGCGTGAATTAAGAAATTCTTAGTAGCACATAACGCTACCCTCAGGAACAAGTACGTCTTCAGAATGCACAGGTAATCAACAATTGTCCTAAACACTGCATTAGAAGTCACCTCTTGCCGATTCCACTTTACCACGTTGAACTCATAATTCAATTTTTTTTCATTTTTATTACTTCTATCATTATTATTATTAACAATATTACATGATCTGTCATCAAATTTAGTGCGCGGGACCCATGTATTCTCCTATTCGATTCGTTCTTCGCATCCATCATCCATGAAGGTTCTCGAACGAACGTTTTGTTTCGGTTGCTACTTAAGGACTATCGTCTTCTTTATGAACGTCACTAAGTGTAGGTTGAGTAGATTCTCCTTGTAATTTTGGAGATAGTAGAGCTAAGTCATTCCCATGTAGACTGGAAGAGGTCGCTGGAGAGGGCGTCAAACAAGCACATGTCTTTCTGATAGACTGAATCACTAACCACTCCTCCTCTATCCCGACCCTTTCCATTTTTAAGTTCATTTATTCAAAGCATAACGTTAATGAACACTATGTCCGTTTTATTTACAGCCATTATCAAGGATAGAATGATAATATTTGTTCGAGTCCTCCTCTTTCCTCCTCTTCCAGAACGACATGTTGCTAGCACTAAGAACTTCAAAAGCGAGTTCTTGAGACTGTCGCTGGTATTGTGCTGCCTCAGAACCGCGAATAAGTGATGGTCGTAAGGTGCTGAGCCCCAATTGCACAATGATTATATTATATAGTCTAGTCTGCACTTCAGTTGCTCGGCGGTCAACCTTGCGATGGGCGACATGACCACTGTCATGCAAGGCTGCACTCTGTGGTTTCGGTCGCTCCTTCACCAAGGCAATGCAGATTTTGTGAAGCTGTCTTGTGTGTCAGTTGGCGCTGAATACCTCGCTCACCTCCAGAAACTTCCGGAAGGGTTCTACGCGTCGTAGATAACAAACAGCATTAGCTACCGATTGTTTTCACCTGGTTTCGGCCGAGCCGAGAGATTCTCTCTGCCGATCAGTCAGAATACGCGGCGCATATTCTCGTAGTAGCCGCGAAACTAATCACCAATCATTGTTTCGTTCACAGCGAACCAGGAGAACTTTGCTGATACTGACCAGCACCGACTGGTCGTGATTGGTCAAGGTATGCATCGTTCAACGAAAATTCACGTTGTAAAGGCCAGTTTTGCAACCAATAGAGGTGCGGGTCAATGATAATACGAGAGAAATAGGGTAACATATCTGTGTCATCCGTGTCCAGTGTCGTAGTAGCTCTAAATCGCTGAACAATGGCTTCGTTTAATGTTACGGTCGGTCCAGAACAAACTTGTTTGCCTTCCCTCACGGCGCTTCCTATCCCTCAATGAAGTGCTTGCACTAGGATCACATCCTCCACCAGCTAGTAGTTGCTGGCCCCTACTTGGCATTCATCTTCTTGGTAGTCCTAGGTGCACTGATGCAATGAAGGTGCTCGCAGATCGAGTTAAAGATCAATCATTCAATTTGATGTTACCTTCCGCGTTATATCCTGTCCTGTTCTATATTTACTATAAAATACCGCTGAATATACTCCTGCAGAAGAACATATTCCGTTCCAACAGAATAAAAATGCATTTGAAGGTGTGAAATAGTCCCGAACAATACTTTTTTTTTTCAAAGTAATAGATTTTATATCGCAATAGAAGTTGAAGCTAACAAAAACAAAGGACTTTGACACTAAATCCTCATAACAAGGAGTAGGAAGTTTTCTTTTCTGAGTTCAAATGTAGGTAGTACAAAGTCACTCCTGAAACTACTCTGATATAATCTATGAGAACAGGTCAATTTATAGAGTGAATGAAGCAAAGCCGACGAAATGACATTATGAACAAAACGCTAACAAGAACGATATAGTGCTAAACATAATACGGAACTGAAACCGAGTAATTTTATACTAACGGGGCGTGTGGCGCAGTTCGGAGGTGCCTTGAAACACACACATGGAATCGATGCCCGCACCCATGAGCCACCAAGCCTTCCCAGTTTTCACTCCAAGGTCGGCTATTGGTACTAGACTTGCCTGGGAGGATAGCAGAACTAGCTTGATACATAGGTAAGCCACCGCGAGTCATTGTAAAGACCAGATATGCATTCAATCACCTCCAAACGATGCTTACTGAAGATGAATGCATAGCACATCCCTAGGGGGCATCAACGCAGAGAGCTCTAGAGCTTTTAATTTCCAACCCAAAAACTCACCAATCCGCAAAAAAAAGGAAGCCATGATGATTACTGAAAGTTCAAGGAAAATAAGCATCTGATTGTATGGAATGCTATTCAGAACTATACGACAATTTGTGTAGAAAAAAGAAGAACTACCACAAAGGTTTTCTGTCGAATGGATCTTTTAACTAAATCGTTTCGACGAATTTGTCGTTCAACCACCAAGAAGAGATAAATTCTTACTAATGCGAAGTTGTCGTGACAGGTTTTCTTTCCACACTAGCGATTTCGAAAGAATTTCGATAATTTCAGATCGTGAAGTGAACAACCTCGCTACGAACGATCGGAAAAAAGAACATAAATTGTTCGGTCTGCAGAATCTGAAGCACTACAATATAACAACAACTTGGTACATACCAATGCTATGATTCACGAACAAAAAGCTATGTAGTTGTAATAAATCCATTTGATGTTACGCAAAGCTGAACATCGCAGACGATAAACTGACGAGGATATTCGTTTTTTTCGCTAGTCAAACATGAAACCCATCAGACGAATGTTCTTATAAGTCATAAAGAATACAGAATAAAGCTCTACTGTCAAGACCACAATCCCTAAGGGATCTGCCAGGCATCCAACTTAACGAACCATCGGAAGAGGTCATTGAATGAATATCTGGCGCACACAATGATCCACGGTAACCTACCGATATATCGAGACATAGTACTACTATACTCCCAGTCAGGTCTAGTACCGATTTGCCAGCCCAGGAGGGATGGAAAGCTTACATGGGATCAATCCTATATGTATTGCAGGGCACCTCTAACCAATGTGCTGCGCATGCCCACTTATATTTCGTACTTGAACGTTAAACCGTGATTCGAATACTTGTCCATGTTCTTTTTCACCGTAAATAAAATAGATTTTTGCTTTCCATGAGAGCTAATCTGCATATTTCCCACCCCTTATCATTTATACGACGAGCAACAATACGCAAAACAATGTAAAGCCCAGAAGTGCACGTCGTCTGAACAATAGAGAAATTCGCGTAGAGGAAGGAATTTTAGCTGGCAAAGCGATCGGAATACTTCGAAAACTTTGTAAAATTCACTAAGACGTCACAGATGAGTTCATATCAGGCTGTGAGGGTGACACTCGTTCCACACCTGTTATCGTCTCCAGTGATTTTAGCTCCTTTAAATCCTATAAAGTGCCATAACAACACACTGCCTTATTGATGAAACATTCCCATAACTTGGATAAGAAAAATTTCAGACTTAAACTTTGTAACCACTTGGTAACAAGCCTGAAAAGCGTAAAACCACTAGAAAACTCATCCTAATCCTTAACATCTCTTATCCCGCATATCTTCGTCTTAAGCAGACGTTAAATTTAACGAGCACCGGTCGGCTTCTAGAGAACGCTAGAGTCCATCGATCAACGTCGGAGGTTGACAGAAACAAATTCACTAATGGAACAGCAACAAGTAGGAACAAGTATGGAAGACATAAATTCAAACGAAAAGCAGAAATTTTCAACCTTGATAAACGGAAAAAACCGGACCGAGTTCCGAAACATTCCACTAGTTGGTTTTAGTTCCATCGAGTCCGACTTAATGACGAAACGAAGGGATGATCATTTCGTTCTGCATGAAACTTGAAAATATTCAAAATAATTCGTCCGAATTGAATGAAGCAAACATGTAATGACTCCAAATCTAGAGAGAGGAAGAGAAGGAAACAAACTGAGTTCGACGAGGAATCCCCTTTACAAAATTCCGAAGCAGCAACCTAAGGATTGGAAAGCTGGTTACGATTGGAATCAAACTTGGAATTCTCACATTTACTGACCAGAGGATGACGACTGCTAGGAATCGATCGCCAGCGAGGTGACCTCGTACGGACGACCGGCGGCTCGGCGGCCAGGCTGGCTGGCTGGACGGCCGGCCGGCAGTGTGCGGATGGACGGATGTTGGTCGGTGGCTGGTCGTGAGAGGTTGAAGACTGACGTGCCCTCAGAACTGGACACTCATAGGAGCATCCCAAGTGATCCATCACCTCATCACTAACCATTGGTAAATCAAGCTGGATCCTCATGTTAATCGGTTATTATTAAACAGTTGCTCATAAACCTGCCGGTAGTGTACAGATGGACGGATGGTGGTCGGTGGCTGGTCATGAGGGGAGCGAGGATCGAAGTGCTCTGAGGACTGAACACTCGCATAGAAGCATTCAAAGTGAACCATCGCTCCATCACTGACCGTCCAACTGGTCAATCAACCACGACCCTGCTGTTAGTCAGTTGCTATTCAACAGTTGCAGCTTGTAGACAAACACTAACACATTCTCGGTTGCTCCACAGGCAGACAATTGAAGGCGATAACACCCTTGTGTACAAACATCTCTGAAAGAACAACAATATCATGAAGATTTGGTGTGATCGTTTTCTGCAGCTTTACGGAGCCACAGCAGACCTCTAAAATTCAGGGTCATTTCTCTGCTCCATACAAGTTCTGCCTACTTAAACGCTCAACTTCTTTTCAATTTTCGCCTTCATAGCTACACCATCTCCTTCATAGTTATCATGACGTCTGCTTCAACCGCCTCCTCTCGTCTCTTGCAACAACCCTCTTATTGTTGTTTTTCCCATAAAAACTTGAACGTCTTGATCTACGGCAATGATCGGCAACGTGTCAAAAGTGACGATTAACGAAGGTATATAGGAGTTGTATTCTTGTCAAAAGTTGTAATGAAATAGGACCTAAAAAAAACCAAAGATCAATGATCACAACCGATTATCATAGTGATTGTTTGTTTTGACCCTAGAAGAAACGTTATGTAGCCCAACGATATCCACTTCACCTTTCTGATAGCGACTCTATGAAACACTAACAAAAATAAGCATTTACTTGGAAAATGAGGGATGTCAACAGATAATACATATTTCCTATTCATATTTTACACATTAAGTCTTCCATTACACATCTTGCGTTTAGAATAAGGGTGAGAAAAGTTTGCTGAATGTCGTTGAACTAATTTGAAATGCGTCAGACTGATGACCGATCAATAATCACACTTACGAACAGTTGCAAATATTAAACAATTGTAAGGTAAAAAGTTTTATTACATCCTCATGCCAACAGTAAAATAGAATGATGAACAACAAATATCTACACAGGACAATTTGTCTCTGCACAGGTGTGGGTTCAATTCAGTTGACGTGTATTTGATTGTAGTTCCAGTTCAGATCAATACGGATCAATGAATCATGTGTTAAACAACGACAAACTCTAGCTGTTCCCAAATTCAATTGCCCCTGGTCGTTCTGGATCAGCGGGAAATTCGTTGTCTCCATACTATACGTCTACACGAACGATGACGATTGCGTTCATAGTCTATCGATTTACATATATTTATACGGATTTAGCTTGAATTACACTATTCTACCATTAGGCAGATGTTTACATGGAATAAACACCATTTTCGAAAGATTACTTCATCTCTAATGAGAAATGTAGCGATTTCAATGATTAAAACAAATACCAAGGCTATAAAACGCACGTAAATGGGTACTGACTGCAGGACAAAGACATTTTGGGGTTTTTTAAAACCCTGTTACCCCATATGCACAACAGCATGGAAGAGAATATGCCTCTGTTTAGAGTTCTCTGCAAACATTTGAGTCCTTGTATGATTGAAGAGTCGCCTTAAAGAGGGATCCTAACAATTCGAGTAAGTAAAAGTGGTAAGTTTCATACACAAAAAACTTTGAATGCGGTCTCTAGCTACAGGAATCATAAGTAAGAAACTCAGCAAGCGTTTTACTGATTCCAAAATGTATATAGGAAAACGAGCGGACCAACTCCATCAGCAGGCACCAGCGCGAACAAGTGCCCGTCCCGGCAGCGCGTCAGCTTCTCGCGCGCTCGTAGCCGCGACGATCGATAGCGGTGGGCAGTGCGCGGTACCCGCGCGGCTGCATAAGCGCGCGGTCAGTCTGCGCCCTTCGCACCTGCACGTCGTCCTCGGAGAACACGTCGATGTGTGCGACGTCGTCCGATTCACGCTACCCTCAAGTTGCTATTTTCATTAGTTTCACTTCTTATTCTTAATGAGGTGTCGGTATCATCATACTTGCTGATTGGACATTATTTCACTGGACTAGTTCAAGAGTACACATGGAAATGTGTGTATGAAACGCAGCAACCAAAACTCGCTTCACAGTATCGGGAAGTGGCTTACAGGGCCACAAGAGGCTTTCCCATCGATGTCTCCTTGTTGTCGCGATATCGGAGATATAAGTAATCTGCTCTAGCTAGTTGTTGAATATGTTCTGTCAACTTTTATTACTGTTACATTGAATGCTGAAATGGAGCACTTTTGAGTAATTGACTGGGAATTTATAGATAGAAGTACAACAACGGTCACTGTGGTTTCTACAAAGTACACATGTACTGATCCAGTTAGAAATGATGTCTTCTTTAAACACAACATGTAAGCTGTGTTGCTCTGAATACCATCGTCTTATTTGTTCCTGTGGTTTCTTTCGTAATATGTGCTCTTCCATGTGGGTAACTAGAACGTAGTTGGACGCGACTGGAAACGAATGTCATTCAGATCGTTCTAGAATGGACTATCCTACAAAATGTCATCTGATTAAACTGGTCGAAGAAGAGGAATCGATTTGGAATACCGGTATTGAAGACTATGCCCGTCTAGATAAGAAGAACGAAAGTTGGAATAGAATCTACAAAGAAATGACCGAGAACTATAATTTCAGTGGGAGCAGTACGTTAGACTTCTCATGCATATTTATCTTCTTAACGGAAATAGTTGAAATTCACCCTAAGAAAGTGTTTATTTTAGTGCTCGAGCTGAAAACAACATGGAAAAATCTCAGAGATCAGTGGCGAAAGAATTCACTCAATAAGGCACCAGGTAGTTGTAAGTCGTGGACGTTCGAGAAGCATCTTCTTTTTCTGGCCACCGCACAAAATGAAGCGTAAGTTTTGAAGATCTGTACATATCCCTAATCTTCACTAATTTGGCGCTGATGAGGAATTTAATACCAAAACCGCTGCCTTCGGTTTGCTTAGGATCCACCTAAAGTTCAGATTGGACCCATTGAATTTCAATATTCATCTGTACTACCGAAAAGGAATATATGGTATGCAGTTTTTTTTTAACTTGGGTACAATTTTGATGCACTATACGCTCTTCACAACTTGTCTTCCACCGTGTTTGGATCGATTTTCCTTCTTTGTTGGTCGATAGTTATAGGTCTAAATATAACCATTTTCAGTGTTTGTTGAAGTTGCCTGATGATTTTCCGATTTTTAGGTATTTTATAGAGGGCTTTAATTTTCTTTACTACAGTAAGAATCACAAGAGTTCAAGCAGTATGCGTAACATGTTTAACATGTTACGTCGAACATACGTGAAGTACAATGGATGTGAATCATAACCACAATGATGCTGAGCTATTTGCAAGACTCCCCACCACAGGTGTCTGCGCTGGGGTTCGAACACGCTATTACCTTTTGCGAGCGCCAATGCGTCCATCATCACACCATGCGAGTACTTCATTTCGCCCGTCTCTCAGCCGTGTTTCATAGAGGCTATGAGCAGTCACACGTCAATGGGATTGATCTGGTGCACAAATCGGCATTGAACCCGCTTAAGCTGAGCTGTAGTATAAATCAATTTATGCAATGGATGTGATGAGAGTTTATTGGCCGGTGTCAACGTTAAACCAACATAGCTAATAGTTAGATGTGAATAAAAAAACATTGGAATCCACAGATATCTGCTTATGAGATGTGAGTTTTGTTATTATACCATGATGAAATCCTGCTTCTCTGGAGCTCACAAAATGCCTTCTTTTCTGAGTTTTTCTGCCAAAGCTTCTTTTTCAAGCAGGAAGGCGTTTGAACATGCTGAATTTAGTAAGACAGGATTGAAAGGTGGCCTTCAGTGTATCGTTTATGCTTGCGGATGCCGAGCCGAGGTTAAGAATTCTGGGATTTTGCTTTAAGTGTTACGGGATTTTTATACTAAAACTGTTGAAATTGGAAGAATCTTTCATACAATGAAGATGACAGAGCAGAATCTGCTATAAATAACGAGTTCTTAACTTCTCAATTATTCTTTTTGTCGAGGAGATATTTCCGACCATTGTTTCAATAATTTCAGTTATTGTGTATTAACAGGTTTGATTAACATTATCGAATGCGATTAGCAGTTGAGTAGAAGATTTATTGGTCAGTAAAGCTGACGATAAATGGCATCATTGCCAATTTACATCTTACCTGAATCCGTCCTCAACTTTGACTTTTCGCATTTCCTTTTGTTGGAAGAAAATCTACATGTTAGATTTTACTAGGTTGCGAAATCTACTGTAAATCCAGGAGGAAGAAATGTGAAAGAAGAGACATGATGCAGCTTATATATGTCATTGAACAAATCTGAAATGTTTTCTTTGCCCTAAGTCGGATTATTGGGACTTGGTCTAGTGGTTTTAGAAAATTCGGATTTATTGGGATCGGTTTTTTGCGAATATGATATTTTACGACCCATAGAAAGAAACCATTTTGGTTGCGCTTAGGATTCTTATACTAAATAGAGTCTTTTCTTGCGCAGTGTTTATTTTAGAAAATAAGAGCCGGAGGGCAGAATAACGGGTACGAATTGATTTTCGCTCACATACGACCATGAGTATTTTCGCCTTTCAACTCTCAAATAAGTAAATTTTAGCTTATGATGAAATTTATGTTGAAATTAGTAGAAGCAGATGAATACTACAGATGCTTACCAAAAGAGTTTTTATCCAATAATCAAGAAATTCTGATCTTTTTGTACCCACTGGAGGTTCTGCCTGTGTCCTTTCTAGTCAAGTACCGTATTTCGAAAAGAGAAGCGGTTAAATAGCAGGAACTTGTCACACAGAAGACATTGATGCTTTCACAAACGTCTTCAGTGTGTACCATTCCGTACTTGTGCAAAGAGAATGTTTAAACTTCATTTTCAATTTTTGGAATCATGATCTTTAAGCAAATTTGAAATTTAGCTCGGAGTCGTAAGGCAAAATCTCTCCTATAACTCGGTTAAATTCATGGCCTCTCTCTTTATATATATACAAATATTTTGATTGTCGATAATATCCCTGCACCGTTGAAAACTAGAATTAGGGCTGTAATTGTTGAAGGTTTTTTTTTTCATTCGATAATTGTATCTACAGTGCATTTAGAATTGTAGCCTCTTTCTGTGGTTTTGTTCTCATCTCTGTTTATACTGGTTACCAAAGATTAGTGAGGCATTGGTGTAATACTTTTTTCCCATTATTTTCCTCTCTTGTGGAGAAGTTTATAAAATTCACCATGGTGCGTAAATCGTAATGAAACCTTTTATAGGAACAGGAAAGAGTCCGCAGTGAGGCGATGGCTTGCTACAGTGTTCGGGGACACAGTGCCAGCGACGTCGAAAAACGTAGCAAATAACAAATCTGCTTTACGGTAGGGAACTGTCGGCTCACTGTGGAACCATTTTTGATTTTCTAGAATTCCGCTAATATAGCATTACGCTTTTTGTGATACATGACTGAAAATATACAACTTTGAAATTAGGAGAACGACCTTGTCATCTCATTGATTGGATTTTATTTTCCATAAATTTTCAGTATGGATGTTACGATGAAAAAGGAGTTCATTGCACTTATCAAACAAGAGGAACTTCTATGGAATTCGGAATGCAAGGACTACTACCGATTGGACAAAAAGAACCTTAGCTGGTCTAGGATTTTGACCAAATTGGAGAAAAAGGGTTTCCGCGGTGGATGTGAGTGACCTTTCATGATTTATTTCTGTGATGTTTTTTTCAGGATTTTCCTAATAATGTGGTAATGTATACAAATTAATCTTCGTTGTATAATGCTGTGGATTGTACTAGAAGTATCGGACTGACATCATCATTTAAGACAAAGAAGCTGTTCTTCATTTGTCCACACTTCGAAAATCCCATCGATTGGCTTTTTATCACCTGAACCTAGAAAGTCATCGAAAAGCCAGATTGACACTCACTGCTACAACTAACTTATAAATGGCTTTTTCAAGTATCAGCGCGCATATCTCATTGTCACGTATTAGTTCTAAATAATTTTTTTCCTTATTAAGAAAGTAACAGATTCTTCTACTACATGGTTGTAACTCATGTTACTTCTGTTATGTTGTGAATATGTGATTTAAGTACTGGAACTGAAGGCAGCATGGAAGGTTTTGCGCGATACAAAGCGAAGAACGTCTATGCAACCAAACGCCTCAGGAAAAACATGGATTTATGAAAAGGATCTAGAGTTTCTGAATGATGCTTCAAAGAGCGAATCGTAAGTGTCTTGATAATTTTTGTCATTGTTGGGATGTTATTTTGTTCCTGATTTTCACTCTTTCCTTTTCAGTGTCCAGTTTTCACCACATGTTGAGAATGACTCTAAACTTCATAGCTTGGTCGATAGTCCGCGAAGTTCTGTCACCGCTGATGATATGATCGAGGAAGCAACGAGCATTGCCGCATCCGATGAAGGGAATGAGGGTTATTTCGTTCCAGTATCTGAAGCACAGGAGAGCGGAACTGCATTAAATGATGCAGAGTCATCACGAAAAAGAAGTTACGGTGGTGGTTTAGCCGCGAAACGTCGAAAAATGGAATGCTTTCATGAAGGTACGGTTGTCATGTAATGAATGCTATAGTAGTATGTGTAAAGTTAATCATGTCCAACCTTTACATTTTTTTAGTTTCCGTAAATCTTCTGTTTTTTATCTTTCCCTCTTTATCCTAAGAAAGAGAACTATTTCAAAACTTGTCGTTTTAGGCCTCGATATGATTCGAGAAATTACGGTTGCCTTGAGAGAGAGGTTATCATCTGTAAGAATGGATAAGTTTGATAGATACGGTGCGCTTTTGAGCATTGGTTTTCGTTTCAGATACCATTTCTTTAGCGAATTTTCACAGATTTCAGGCGCCTTTATTGCATCCTCCTTGAGAGAAATGTCTGAGCCTGTGGCGAAGCGAAAAATGGCTGAGCTCATGGACTGTCTCCTGAATCAAGGAAATCGGACATAGCACTTGTTGATGTTATTTTTTTCGTTGCAAAATTGTTGTAAATATGGAAAGTGATACTCATCAGACATAGCACTTACTGATGTCAATTCTTTCGTTGTTGAGTTGTTGTAAATACGGAAGGTGATGCTCATAGGTTACCAATTAGCATATCCAATCATTGAAACGGGTTACTATTGAAGTTGCCGTATTTTTTCCATTTTCTAGTGTTGTTTAACGTTTTATTGCTCAATAAGTTTGCAGTGGATGAATATGTGGAGCACTCCTTTTATCTGTTTACTTCAGATCATAAGTGGCTCTTGTTTGACGAAGAGTCTGATTCTAACGTAATTTCCATTTGAGTTTGAATGTTCTGGAGGAAAAGATTTTGTTTCTTTCCAGTTTCAGAACCAAGGGCGTATGTGGCGCAGTGGTTGGAGGCGCCCCAGCGATCCACACGTGGAATCGCCTTCTATCACTCCGGGGTCGGCAAATTGGTATCAGACTTGTTTGAGAGGATAGCAGCGCTGGCTCGATACATCGGTAGTCCACCACGAGTCATTGTAAAGGCCAGATATGTATTCAATCACCTGGAACGATACTTAAGTTAAATACATGGCGCATCCTTTAGGGATTGATCGACGCCGAGAGCTTTATCCTTTATCATGTTATTTACTTTCGGAAAAGCCCAGCTAGGGCTTACCGAACTAGCCACCAAGACAGTCTGGAGGTCGTTATGGATTGCAATTAGATCGGTCGCTTTTGCAACAAGTTGCTCTCGAGACGGTAGTGATTCCTGGCATAGATTTACTCTTAGGCTTTAGGGTGGAAATATCAAAATTTTTTGATTGGGTGATACAACTCCATCAGTGACAATGTGGTAAACTATCAATGGAGTCTGTATCCAGTAGTCGGCTCATATAGCGGCTCACTTCTGTTGAATGGCTCAAATATCTCAAATCATGCAAGAGAGTGAATTTAATCAAAGGTTCTCTTTCGAGCCAGTAATTGAACCTTGCGAAAAAAATTCATGAGGAATTAATGCCATAGAAGTGTTCTTTGATTCCAGACGAAAATATATGGCAAAGGTTCATCCTACAGCAGCCGTCTACCCTAAAAAGGAGTTCAACTACAGATACCCAGATAGTAGTAAATCAATACTGCAACAGAATTTATGGTCTGCTTTTGGTCAAGTATTTTCAAGAAAAAAAAACGTCCTGTGTAGAGGGTGGTGATGTTGGTGTGCCCCGAGAGAATGGAGCTCATTGCGTAACTCTGGGTCCCAACAGATAAGAATGGAAACGTTGCTAATGCTCTGCTGAGTTGCTTACTAAGTAACATAATAACAAGTAGTAGTCTTGTTTTATCCAAACAACTAAATGGCATGAGCACCTTTTTGCTAACGCCGTAATGGCAGTATGGAATTGAACGAGACACATGAAAATGAAAAAAGTACTTGATTTAGTAGCTGGAATGCTGGAATCCAGCAGTTCCATAAAGTTTACTATCGTAGGGAAAACTGAGTAAAGTATCTCTAGAGGTTCACATTGAATTACGTGTCGGAGTAAGCACGTAGCTGTAGTCCAATAAAGACAATACCATGAATATTTCAACTTGAAAAAGAACTAAAGAAGAACCGATCAGGAATGGTCGACGAGAGTTAGTGTATTGCAGCGTATTTGACTCCATTTGTAGCACCGTAGAGGTGTGTGAATATAAATCCGGCCTGCATAATGGCATCACCATGCATCCAGTCAAAATCTGACATCCTATATGCCTACATTAGAAAGATGAGGAGAGCTTGGTTTTCCCTGGACGTAGAGTCGAACCAACGGTGATGAATTTCTGCACACCTGTAACAACAGTGCTACACGCTTCCTGCTCCATAGTATCATCTGTATCACCTACAGAACCTGTAGTCCCGTTGATCGTCGAGTGACTCGAGCGGGCGCGAGTAAATCTTCCATTTTTCCCTGCCGCGTGCAAGAGTAGCGCAGTGGGTTCTGCTCGCTCTAGGGACTCGTAGAGTATCATATATTTGTTCAAGGCTCTTTATGAAAAACTTTATCTGTACCTACAATGCACGTACACTTGCATCCGAATCCTCAATAGAAGACTTGCTCATGCAAGCAAGAAGGATAAAGTACGACGTCATCGGCTTGGCCGAGACGAGAAGACGCCAGCTTTTCAACGCCGTCTATGAAACTGGAGAAGAGCTGTTCCTCGGAACATGCGACAGTAGACGAGTCGGCGGCGATGGAGTTCTCGTCAACACGAGTTTTTCCATGAACATCGATTCATTCGAACAACTCATAACCCGAATCGGACGTTTACGATTAAAAAGACGTGGATCAATTCCGGCTTTGACAATCTTCGTCGTTTACGCGCCGACATCAAACTATGACGAAGGGGTCGAAGGGTCGAAGCGTTCTATGTGGACTTGAAGAAGTTCTACAGAGAAGACCATACATTCTTCAAGGTCATCATTGGAGATTTCAATTCCAAAATTGGACCAAGAAGAACGTCACATAGGGACCCACGGATTAAAATGGAAGGAACAGGATGAGCAGCTGTATGAGTTTATCATGGCGACCAAGATAATCCATGGTAACTCGCAATTCCAGAAGCCCCACCCTTAGCGCTGGACGTGGGAGTCTCCCAATGGAGAGTACCATAGCGAAATAGACCACATCATAGTAAAAAGAAGGTTTGGCTAGCCGATGTCGCTGTTGTCCCATCGTCTCCTTCGTGCAAAATTCAATTTCTCGCGGAAAGGAGAAAAAGCCGCTAAATTATAACACCGAAGCCCCAGAACCACCGCAAACTGGGACTTATTCAATTCATTACTAGACTGCTGGAAGGATGCCGTTGTCGATAACATCGACGAAGAACACGATCGACTCATTCAACATCTTCACGTTAGCGCTATGAAAGCTGAGAGTTCGAAAGTCACCAAGAGACGTTTGTCTCCAGAAACACTCGAGCTGACAGACCAGCGTGGAATCGCACGAACTGCAGGCAACCGCGAACTAAGGCCCGAACTTGCAAAACAATGCAGATAGGCGATAAAAGAAGATATTAAAGAGAGAAGAGCAGCAGTAATGGTCGAAGCTTCTTTGTTCTCTTCACCACATTCCCGATGCTTTTGAAAGCTCTCCAAGCCGCTCGTTTTGCTCTGCTTAACTCTAGAGCTAAGTCGTTGAACATGTTAAATTTCTGACCTAGATAGACATAACTGGAGCAATTGGAGATATTCGTTCCGTTGAGCGTGAATGGGGCATGCGAAACCAATCCGCTCCTCATGAGCATCGTCTTTGTGAGATTTAGTCGAAGACCAATCTTTCCACAGGCTCTATCAAAGCCGGCAAGCATTCGCTCCGCTTGGCTAATGTTTAGTTTTATAAGGAAGATGTCAGCAAAGCGAAAATGGTGTAATAACTGCCGACCGTGGATTTTCACTCCCATGTTATCCCATTCCAACGCTCGCATGGCGTTCTGGAGGGCGGCTGTAAATAATTTTGGCGAGATGGTGTCACCTAAACTTTGTCTAAACCTTCTTTTCACGTCAATGTTAATATCGTTGTAGAATGGTGATATATTCGTTGTGAAATTTTTGTACAGTCCACGAAGGATCTTTATGTAGTGAGCAGGGACTCCTTGACCATCAAGGCCTTCCATGACTGCTTCTATCTCAGTTCAGTCAAAGGCCTTTAAATCAACGAAAGTGAGGCAGAACGGTATTTTGTACTCTTGCGATACTTAAATGAGCCTTGCTACCGTGTGGATGTGGTCCATCGTACTAAATCCATTGCGAAACCCTGCTTGCTTACATGGCTGTCCGTCGTCCAGTGTTTTATCAATCCTGTTTAGAATAAATCGAGTGAAAAGTTTGTGGACGATAGGCAGCAAGAAGATTGGGCGAAAGTTTCCTGTAACGTGTAGGTCACCCTTTCTGTACAATAACGCTTGCTGAACTCCCACTGAATAGGGATCTTGAATTCAGACAGGTAACGTGTGAAGAGCCGAGCCAGTGTATTTACGAAGACTGGTGAAAGTTTCTTCAGGTGTTCAGATCTTATTCTGTGTTCGATTTTTTATCGACGAAATAGCATGTAGGATATCGCAAGGGAGAACCGGTGATGCAACATATCTATCTTTCTTTATTTCATAAGATGGAAGGTGGACATGGTTACGGAAGAGGTTTGAGTAGTATTTGTGAATGATTTTCTCCATTGCCTTTCTTGACGCTGTAACTGTGCCGTCTGGGCTCCGTAGTGCAATCATCTCGGTCTTGTAATTGGCGAAGCTTCGGTGGGCTTTGAGAATGCTTTTTCCAGCCTCTGCAGCTTCGACTATTACTGCTGCTCCTCTCTCCTTAAGGTCTTCTTTTATCGCCTATCTGCATTGTTTTGCAAGTTCGAGCGTTAGTTTGCGGTTGCCTGCAGCTCGTGCGATTCCACGCTGGCGTATCAGCTCGAATGTTTCTGGAGACAAACGTCTCTTGGTGACTTTCGAACTTTCAGCTTTCATAGCGCTAACGTGAAGATGTTGAATGAGTCGATCGTGTTCTTCGTCGATGTTATCGACAACGGCATCTTGCCAACGACCGATAATGAATTGAATAAGTCCCAGTTTGTGGAGGAGGACTCCAGTTTTGGAATTTAGCAGTTTTTTCTCCTTTCTGCGAGAAATGGAATTTTGCACGAAGGAGACGATGGTCTGATCACGTGCAGAATTTTGGGACAACAGCGTCATCGGCTATGCAAAACCTTCTATTTACCATGATGTGGTCTATTTCGTTATGGTGCTCCCTAATGGGAGACTCCCACGTCCAGCGTTGAAGGTGGGGCTTTTGGAATTGCGAGTTACCATGGAATGTCTTGATCTTGATGATAACGATCCGTAGTTTGCTTGTTATAGCAGCTTTATGGAGTTCTCAGCAGTTTAGAGTATAAAGTTTCTAGCCTAGATCAATCCCTGAGGGATGTGGCATGCATTCAGCTTCACCAATCATCGTTAGGGGATACTGAATGCATATCTGGCCTATACAAACATTTGCGGAAGCCTACCCATGTATCATGTCAGCGGTGTTATCCTATTTGAAACAGAGAGATCTGATACCAATTTACCTACCACGGAAAGATTGGATGCTTGCTAAATACACTGGATCTAACCACGCGCCGCATTACATTATTGATATTATTTATGTATGTCTTTACGTTTTTTTCTGCGAAATATACATGCCCCTCATTATAATACTTATATTATTTGTTTATGTCCTTACATTTTCTTCTACGAAATATGTGGGCTTCAGCACAACGTCACCTTGAAAAATGCTTATGTCATGGGTTTACCAGAGTGTTCACAGGCGTTTGCCAACTCTGTTTAGACTGCAGTAAGGCTTTCGGTCCTGATAATAGTTTTCCTCCAAGATGACAGCAATTCCTGGCACAGGCTTGGTTTTCGGCGGGACTGTTTATGGAAACTTTACTGTCGATACATGGACAACTGCTTCATCGTATGTTCTGCACAAGAACAGATGGATGAGTGCTTTGAATTGTTAAACCGACAGTCAGAGTATATAAAATTTACACGGGAAAAACCAACCGAAAACTGGTTTCCACTCTTAAACATCGAAATAAAGCTGTCAGAAAGTGGCTATATAACAGAATGGTATCGTAAACCAAGTAGTAAAAACATACCAGTTCACTACCTCTCCTCTCTCCTTCACAAATGGAAAAAGCAATCATCAAAAATATGTACCGAAAGGATAAAAACGTGTGCATAAGGGAAGAGGAAAGGAAGCAATCTCTAAACCTGGCACGAAAAATAGCCATCTCCAGTGGCCACCAAGTATAAGCAACTCGGCTTAGACAAAAACGTAGGGTAGTTCCCCAAAATAATGTTTCGGACGTAAGTAAGATCCTTTTAAGCTACCCTTCATATGAAATGAAGTAAGTTGCGCGATTAAGAGAGGCTTGAGGAAAAGTGCTCTTGAAAATTATGTAATGACTATTAACATTCCACCCAATACCCTACGCCGTCAGTTAGTTCGAAACCATCTCTGTGATCACTATAATGTTGAGATATTAGCAAAACTCCGGGCCGCAGGTGCATGCGGTGGGGAACGAACCCGCTATTGTCCTTTCCGGGGAGTAACGCGTTCACCACCACACCGAGCGGGTCCTTCGTTTCGCCTGTTTCTCAGCTAGTTCTATCGATCTTTTGTCATCAACAATCGTTGGTGAACGGGACCTGCGGCCCGGAGTTTTGCAAATCTCTCGGCATCACTGTGGTTATATCACACATCCTGCCGTGAAAAATCGTAATAGGCAGTAAATAAAAAGTTAACAGTGTAAGTCGAGACAAAACGCGGTGAACGCGTTACTCTCCGGAAAGGATAATAGCGCGTTCGTTCCCCACCATAGACACCTGCGGTCCAGAGTTTTGCAAATATCTCAGCAACATTGTGGTTGTAAGTCGAGACACTTATTGCGTCGGCGATTTACACAAATAACATGAGTGGTGGGAGAAATGGATTGCTATGTGAATTCCCTGACCTTATCCATACATTTGCGGAATTTTTTTAATGTTTTAAACAGTAGATGGAAAGGAGACTTAAGTCACCATATTTCTACGGCTTTCAAATGATCTTTCTCTTTGAATATTACGTCATTGCCTTCCCTTTTTCCATGATGGACTCTATCCAGTTTATTTTGCTTAGATTCTTTTCATCCATGTAAAAAATCACACTTCAGGCTTTGAAGCTGTTAGACAATTAACAATCTGCAAGGATTCTTTGGCATACATCATACTACTGAATAAAGAAAAAATAATGATAAACACTCAATCAACTACGAGTAGTATTTAGATAGAATAGCGTTAGAGACGATGAAATCACTGCATCTGAATAAATATACGATTCAATAAAAAAGTCCTACAGTGTGTAACAAGATAGAGGGACGAAGCAGCCGGTGTTGATCTATCCTTGACGGATGCGTCGTACATTTGCCTTCAGCAACCATCTTAAAGGAAGCAAAATGCACATCTGGCCTATACAATAGCATGCGATAGCTTATCGATGTATCAAGTCAGTGCTGCTATCCGCCAGACAGGTCTGGTACCAATTTTCCGACCTTGAACGAATGGAAGCATTGGTGAGTACGGTGAAGGCGTGCGAACGATCGACCAACATCTGTGTGCAGTGGAGAACACTTTTTTTGCATTATATGGGCTCAATCACAAGATTATATAAATTTATACACATATATGTATGCATATGAAGGACTAGTAACGTAGTGGTAGTGGTGCCGTCCATCATGAGCACAGCGCTGGCTGGATCCTGACGGGGCTACCAAGGTTGGGAAATTAGTAAATGACCTATCTGGGAAAAGTTGACTCTCTATGATCGAGACGGGAGCGCTTTGGATTATCTATTCCGTAC